CGAAGGAAGGAAAAGGACGGTGGCGCAGGAAGAAGGGACGGAGACGCGGCAAGCAGAATGACACAACCCACAAGAAAGTTTTTCTATTTTTTTTTATTACTTGATTACAGTAATAAATTCAAAAAACCATAGAATTACTTTAAGGTCAATACTCACAAAAAAGACATACTTTATAATTATCACCTGCGACTTTAAGGAAGTGGTAGGCGTATTTCCAGACTGCAACTATTTGGCACGCCATTTAATATTTATTTTAATTATAAAACGAACCTAATTGTTTTCGTAATGTAATTAAAAAAAAATGACTCAGAACTGAATTGCAAATTGGCAGAAAATAACGTCAGCATTTGAAAAAAACGATTCATGAATACTATTAATTCGTGACTAAATTGTATCTGCAAAAAATTCATCTTTAAGCTAATTTGGAGAAACCCATCGCCCTTTGAAGCTTAATCATAATTGCATATGATTAATTACTTAACTACAGCATTCAATTTTCAGCCAAGAAAAACCTTATGAATTAGGTATTTCCATTCTTCTCTTTTTGTTGTAGACAATCCTTTGTTTTTTGAAATTTTTTCATGAAAATCAAACAATTGTGTAAATATAACTTCATGTAATAATTGACAGTTTCGTTTAATTATGAGATCAAAAAAGCAACTGTGACAGTTTCTTGAAAACAAAGAATTTTGATTATTTCACAGCGAAAACAAGTACAGAGCCGTTAGTGAAAACCATCGCATTCTCATGAATCATATGCCAAAAAAGCCGAAACAGCCTGCTTACCATTAATCATCTAGGAAACAATAGTAGTTTTATAATTTGTAGCATAGCAATCCCTCAATTTTTTAACAACTCTAACCACAATGTTTTTGCCAATTTTTATGTTTTTGTGTTTATTTCTACAGAATATTAATTAGTTCGAGGGACGGTCTTCAACGTAAAGTAATGGACAATCAAACTTATTTACAAGAATATTTATTGTATTTTTTATTCACAAATCATTATTATATTTGTTACTAACTAAATTGTTATTATTTTACAAACGCAATCTCCGAATAATTTAAAAATTTGTTCATATTTGTTTTGACGTATCCTCACAATACATACAGTTATGCATCTGTTAAGTTAGCTTAACCAGTTAACCATCCAGCAATAGATATTACCTATTTGTTGAGAAGAAATAAGCAATAAATATGCGAAAAATTTTGCGACTTTTAGAGAAGTAGCTCCTAGCGAAACATTTTGGATCATTTTGGCCTTATTAATAATAGCTCATACCTATTGCAAAAGGGAAAAGTTGGTTGATCGCAGATGCTATAAATAGAAAGTTCATTGCCCCATCATTTGTATACGAAAAAAACGTATTCCTGTATGCCATCGAGATTGTCCCAGGTGCCCCAATTTCAATTCCCCGATACAAAAAAGTGACGAATAGTCATTTTTGGCCTACTTTTCCAAGAATAACTGATTGCGCTTATGGTTTTGTGATACCAGATGTAAATAGTTTTGGGTGTAAATAGTAGCAACCCAAAAGTCATACAGGTATACGGGGCAATAAGATGGTCGACCATCTTGCAAAAGATTCCATTAGAACTGGAAAAACTGAAAACATTTCAACAGCATCTGATTTAATTAGGTGGCATCAAGCAAGTATTCAGGAAAAGTGGGAACAGAAATGGGTGGAAAATTCCCATAGTTCTTATAACCAATACTTCCTTCTTCATCCTTCCTTACCAAAAGACATCCCACATATATTCACCTTCAACTTCTCCAAAAAGTCAGCTGCTACTATATCACGCTTAAAATGTAACCACGGTAGATTCCCAGCTCATCTCGCGAAGCTGCACATTATTCCATCTGCTGTGTGTTCATGCGATAATGCTTCTGCATGCGACATGAACCATATCTTCTTTAAGTGCTCAAAAAATAATGATGAAATTGAACTACTTTACAATGGATTATTACTTAATAACGTTCAATTACCGGTTAATGTTGCTCACTTACTTTCTCTTAACCAAAAAATAATATTTGAGTTACTATGCAACTTCTTGTACAAAGTTTACCAACTTATATAATGTACATCACAATTTGTGGCAAATGGATAACCTTCCATGCCATTTAAAAAAATAAATAGTAGCAACCTAGGTAGCAACATCGCGACAGCACAAGTTAAAAAATTAACCCAATTTTTTTTTCATGACATCTCACTTATTTTTAAAAATATCGAAAAAACAAAGAATAGAAGTTATTTTTCTACTCGACCAACGAGGAACGGTCCTTAAATATTTATAACACGAGCGCGAATTTCACTATTTTTCCCTTAGGCATCGATGTTGAGATCAAAATTAAACACAATTCATTTTCTTTATACAGGGTGTAGAATTGGTTTACGTACCATAATGGATTTCAATGGTAATTACTTTATATTGAAATATTTTCTCCCCTAATTATTTTACAGCAAAGTTGTAGATCATTTTTGTGTAGAAATTGAGAAATTGTGAAAAAATTCGGCGTCTATTCATGTGCCGATTTGTAATTTTTTGTGGTGGGAAATTGGAGAAATTATAATTGTAATTGTAAATCTAATTTTTTTTCAATGTTTTCACGGCACGATTTAGTAAAAATCACTCGCGCCGTACAATTAATTCTAAGAGATGAGCAGATGCAAGAAAATATTTCTATATAAGGAAATTGCCATTGAAATCCCTATGGTGCATAAAACGGTTCTACACCCCGAATAGCAAACCTTCTAGAAAAGTGTCGAATCAGTATATTAGATTCCATGAAAATAATCACATCCGCTTTCATTCCTTATCCCCAGTGACTAATCGTTTATCACCGTGATGGCGACCTGATGGCGCCTTAGTATCGCTCTAGAAGATACGCTACAATACGCTCCGTTTGAAAAATCACACCTTTGTGTAATAGCTAGGTAACAGTGCAATAATAAGAAAAAGTTAAAAATTTAGGTATAGGTGAATAGGTAAATAACTTCTACTCCACATGGTGTTGATATTTTAAAAAAACCAAGTGTGTTAACAAACGGCCCGTCTGGCGCAGAAGAGTTGAAGCTCACGTAGGTACCAAGAGTCCCTGGTTCAAATACGGGTTCGGGTATGAATATTTGTAAATATATAATGAGTTGGGGTGGTAGAGCAGCATTGGCTGAAACCCTGGCCAAAAATAAAGAATAAATAAAATAAACAAAGGATTTGGACCATTTTGTGAAATTGTACGACTCCCATATTATTATTAAGCGTCAGAGCGAGCTTTATAGGGGATGCGATAGTGTCCGTCTGCCTGTCTGTCCGTGAACACGATAACAGCCATACGTTTCGGCCGATTCGGTTGAAACTTTGCACATTTGACCTATATACCACATGTAACAAGAAAAATGGGTCAAATCCAATGAATGACACCGTATCGAGGTGTTCTGTCGCTTTTTAGATCCGCTTTAGGGGTCTGTTTGAGATATATCAAAACGGCAAAACGCAATCAAACTTTTTTGCAGAATTAGAGCGACAATGTGAAAACTTTTTTTTATCAGCATACCCTGACACTTTGCTACCCTATAACGGCCATCGACGTGACGGAACCATGGAACGGAATTGACAAGTGTGCGACAACCTTTAGATGCTATTTGTGCTATTATTTTGTTTTATATATTTTCTGGCATCTGGAGATCTTTTATATTCTTTTATTCTATCTCTCGATTTTTTGCACTTTTTGTAACTAACTTTTTTTTACCGTAACTCCAGCCAAAAGCAGCTGTTAGTTAAGAGAAAGAGCGATAGTTAATTTTTGTGTAACTTTGATAAACATCGCAATGATAACAATGATATCATTCGAATTCAGCTGAACTAAATGTGAGTCAGTAAAGCCATCGGAATACTTTCTTCATTCAATATTTGTGTAGCAATTACTTTAATGACGTTTCATATTGTTGGAAGAGGATCCAACAATGTTTCTCAGTACAACCAAAGATTTTCCATTCTGGTTAACATTTTTCTACTACTACCATATAACTTCTTGTAGGTAAGAAATCTTTAAATTTCACTTGGGGAACTTATGGAACAATGTTCGGAACTAAATAGCACAAAATTACAGGTTTTAAACTATGCAATTTGATGAATGGAGTTGACGAACCTCCATTCAAACGACTGAAGGTGAAAGGGTTCCTTGGCAGACCATTCATGTTTACGACATACTTTACCCCATTTCAATATACATTAAAGCCTGTCGTTAGTAGAATTATTGCAAGAAGCGTGATTAATGAAGTGTCTAATCCGAATATAAGGAAAGGGCGCGGTTACTCAAAGGGTCGCACCGCAACAAATCCACCCCAATAAAGCTAAAATTAGGAAGCTCACAAGAGACATTCTATGTAATTTCAATCACGAATGTTAATTAAAGTAGGTCTCACTAATTAAATATCGAAAAGACCCCTTTAAACAACTTACACTTTCTATATCCGTTAATACGTTCTACATAAACTCTCTTCCATTCCAATGGTTGCAATCAAAATAGGTAGTTTTCTCGTCGAGAGAAATTTTCCTACTATCTAAACGTGAAAATTAATAACACGCATTCGTAAATGTTCGCAAGCAATATTGCCCAATTATCCCGAAGGGGCAGATGTTATAGTACTGATAAAATCTAATTTATTGTTTTATTATCTATATATTATAGTTTTTTCCACGGCTAACGGTGTTGTATGCGATCTATAGTAAACTTGATAAGGCTTTGGTATACAACTGTTTAATTAAGGCTCGTTAATCCACGTGACTATTGCCGTATTGCGAAGAAGAATGCAAATTCCTTTCGGATTGCTTTACAAGTAACTGAAAAGTTATGGTGTGATTCAGGAATAGTAAATAACGGTTGACCTATCTCATCCTACTTTCAGGAACTGTACGTAATACTGTTGGTTTTAATTAGCTCGTGAATAAGAAGTGACATTTATTAAGGTAGACTTGTGAATAATAGAAATTCCTTACCTTTAGTGACGCCATGTCTGAGACCGATCTGTGCGTCTGTATGGTTTCCAGTTGGTCTAGGCACCAGTCCAATTCTTCCATGGTCTCCAAAGCTAATTTCATATACGCCTCATCTATAACAAACAAACGCGTAAGAAACGACAATAATTAAACTTGACGCATTAAAAGACGTGTCGCTCTTAATTGCTCGCTCTGTTTCATTTGAAGACATTTAACGAGAATGCGTAGGTACAAACTAACTGCGTATTTTCTCCAAGTTATTGAAAACGTAAATGAGTCGAACCGTAAAACAAAGCATTTTTGCGAAGTCTAAAGTTGGCGGCTTAATGCTGCCAGATTAAGTTATTACATTTTTATTGGATTATACTCAAATTTTCCAACATAATTATGCATAATTCCCAGCAGGTTTCCACCCTCAAAGCTCGCCAAACCAAATAAATTAGTAAAATGTTTATTTTCAGTTTATTTTAAAATTGGGAAACATCAAACATAGGAAAATCTTCTGCTTAAAAGTGATTCATTCGGTATATGGTAAATGTATTCTTGGATCTCGTCAAGTTTATGAAATAAACATGAATGAGTGCCGGGCTTAATTCACACTGCCTTTTATTTGCCCCTCGTGACAATGGGGGTAAAATGCTCAGTCCGTTAAAATCTTAAAATAGGTGTGGCCGATGGTAATGAAATTTGGATAACTAATAACTTTACTGCAAGAAGGTACGATAAATCCCGTGATTTTTCTCAATGCTCAACTTTACATGTTTAGTCTTTAATCAATTTCAAAAAAAAAAATATAATACTTTCCGAAATAGGGAACAAGGCAAACTTGTAATCAAACATTAAACAATAAAAATATTGACTTTGAACCACAGGTCGCAACCTTTCTGAGCTCAAAAGGGCGCTTTCCTGCCTTATCTGTGACAGATAAAAACACAAAATAACAAGAGGGATGCACAAAAATACTGCGATAGCAATGCCTAACGTTTGACACTCGGAGTACTCGAATATTAAAACCGAAATAGTATTTTATAGTAATTACGTTAACTAAACAAAAGCAAAATTTTGTTCGGCAACGAATCGTCCGTACAAATCGGCAGAACATAAAAGAAAATACACGCAACGTTAATTCAAGACAACTACTTTACGATGCACAAATAACTATATTTCTATACCACAAATATAATCTAATTAATTCAAAATGTATATAAACTAACACGGACAAATTTTTCGTGATTACACAAGTAACGTAAATAAAAATCGTAGTTATCGGTTTCGGAATAGGGCTCGTAACTTCAAAAACTAATTAACGATGCACAGGTCTTAAAGATATCTTTTATTGTTACAATGGTCTGTGATGAATGCAAAATTTGTTTTTTTAAAGATACGTGAATACTTTGAAATTTAGATCATTGTCTGTATTTGCGAATAAGAAATAAATCAGAGGTGCGCCGATTTTGATTTTTCAAGCATAGACAATATAAGGTCCAGATATTGGCAATGATGCCTATAAGCCCGTAATCAATGCACACCCAAATGTAATGCATATACTTACACATGTACTTAACACGTGTTGCTTTATAAGAATTATGAGACGCAGCGTGTAACCATGCAGTGCATTACTTTCCCCTTTCTTCCGATCCGACTGTTTCTACTATCTCGGTCCTTAATTTTCATTGAAAACGAGCACACTCGCGTAATATTTTGTGAAATTACGGATATACACGTGCAAATAGTGTTCTATTATTTGATTCAAATAGGAAGATTAGTTTATGTTCATTAGAACTTCTAAATTCATCGGACTGACATTTTACTCAGACAGTAATCTGGTGGTATCTCGTGTTAACCCGTCCGGTGTTCTTATTAATCGATTTCCATGGTGGTATTGATATTCGTAGTTCTGTTCATAAACAAGTGGCGGCCCCTCCGAGAAAAAATTCTGTCCGTCAAGGCTTCCTAAGGCTTCTCTCAACTTCTTAAATTTTCTTCGCGTTCCCCTCAGACTTCTTTCAATTTCTTCTTAAGTAACTCTCACGTTTCTATCAAATTTTCTTCTCTTCTTATTCTCAAATTCTTCTTATGGCCACTTCAAGTTCTCCTCGAGTACATTTCTGTTCTCAAGTTTTTTATCCGTCTTTCGAATATCTTGTTACTCTCAAATTCCCCTCAATGCTCATTGCACCTTCGTTCAAGGTCCCTACCAGTTCTCATCAAATTCCTTTTAAGTCTCCCTCTTCCTTAAGTTCTCCTCAATTTCCTCTAAAATCATTCTTCAGTTTCTCTTTATACTCCACAAAGTCTCTCAATTTCCTCACACTCAGCTTGCGAGTTGTTCTTGAATTCATCTTAAACTTCCCCAAAATTCCAAAAACAAAATACCATCCGGTTTCCATAATATATAATCTTTCTCTGAAGTTCATTTCGAGGAAAAATTCAAGGATACGTAATGGGGAACCTTCATATAGGTATTTCTTGTTCCTCTCATATTCTCTTCAACTTCCTACCAAATCCGTCCCAAGTACCCTTCATGTTTCCCTCATATGTCGCTCTCAACGTCCTCAAATTATTCTATTCAAGCTCCTTCCAGCTTCCCATTTCCCGTACGTTCCGACCACATTGTTCTCAGGTTATTTTCAAAATCTCCTTAAATTCTTCTCCATTCCCTCTCAGGTTCTCCTCCAATTTCCACAATACCCACTCTTTAGTTTCCATCAAATTCCTCTAAAGCGCTTCTCTACCGCGAACTAGCGAATTTTTAGATACTTATTTTCCAAATTGGGGAGTATTGCATAGAATTGTTCGGTTAAAGGAGCGTATTCATATAGCGAACGAATTCGGCCGAATGGATTCGTTCGGCCAATGCACACGTACAACCAATCGTTAGCATTTTCTAGTTTTCGCTCATCAGGCGGCAGGCGAAGAATTCGTTCGGTTATTTTCTGGCATGTACGGCCTCCCACAGTATTTGCATTGCCGATATACTGTGTATACACTCGCGAAAATAAAGGAGTGCTTGAGAAAGGTATGAAAGGAGGTATGTGAGCAGAAACATTAACGTCCAACGCATTTGGGAGAATTTGGACGAACCCATTCAGTCAAATTCGTTCGCTAATACGGCCCTTAATGATTCCACGTTTCAGATAACAGAGCTATTGAGGGTACTTTTCGATACACTAGAAAAAACGGCATACACATACAATTTATAATGCGTTTTCCCGCGACTCCCTTCGAAAATTGTACAATTCAAGTCGGATGTTAAGACTATCTCGCTGCATTTGTAGGTGTAGATATCGTCTTTTATTGAGGTTGTAGGAAAAATAGTGTACATAACTCTCTTGAAAGCGACTGCGTGAACGGTTTCAACGCTCGTTTTGTAATATGCTATTGTAGAGATCCTTCGAGAGCATTATCGAGGTTCCATCAAATCGATAAAGGATTAGTCACCGGGGATAAGGAATAAAAGCAAATATGATTCATTCTTTCTGTGAAATATTATATCCCTTCAAGATTTTTCTGGACGGTCTATTGCTATATAAAGGAATTTAATTGTGTTAGTTTTAGTCTTATCATCTATGTAGAAATGATAAATAATCCAAATCGCTCTCGCTGTGCGAATGCAAGTAAGTAATAAATATTGAATTGTTTTAATTTGACTCAGAGTATCTTCCTTTGCTGTACCGTAGCCAAGCGAGTATTCTCTTGGAACTTCAAATAGATCGCTTTGTTAGCCCATTTTTTTAAGAATTAAAAGAAATGTGCTATTGTTTGCGTCTGTCTGAAGGTGTGCCAGACGGCCTTCAAATTTTGTTGACTTAGGGGGTGCCACCCCCATTAATTATTTCTCGAGATGCTTCCATGTAAAACTGTTGAAACTGAGGGGGGAGGGGCACGTTTTACTCTCCATGGTATTCTAATGAAGAGGTATCATTGAACGGAATTTGTTTTTACAAACTGTAAAGTCCAGTTGTACAATGTCGGTTTAAGCTATAGTTAAATTGTGGGTTAAAGGATTTGATTGGCTAACTTTTCACAAGTTAACCAATCGTGTTTCTGAAATCTGTCGGTTAAACTAAACTCAAGTTTAAACTGACGTTGTACAACCGGGCCTAACTGTCTTCCGCGACACCTTTTCGAGAACCAACTGCCGCCCTTCCCCTCTCCCCTCTTACCCTTTATCAACATTGGGGGAGAGGGGGGTACTGGTACGTTGTGGAATTCGATCTCACCACCTGTGAGATTAGAGTCCAAGTTCTGTGAGGTTACAGTCCGAGTGTCCTCCATGACCTATTATCAGGATCTGTTATAATTCCTTATGTTTCCAGAGCGGATTGTCGGAAGAGGGTACTCACAAAGGGTGATGGGGACGTGTGCAAAAAATATTATTTATTAGTGATGTCAAAACGATGATCGAAAACGATTTGTCGGAGAGTACTCACAAAGGCAAAATGAATCGTCCGGACGAGTACGAGTAGAAGAGAATATCTCGAAAACAAAGCGACAAAAGAGGGTACTCATAAAGGGCGAGTGGAACGTCTGGACGAAGCACATCTACTGGGGGTGTGAATATCTCCAAAATGTTGGAGAAGGTACCTACAAAGCGAAAATGTAGTATTTCCGAGAATTTCACTGAAGTCTTGATTCTTCTTGCGGTATACCTATAGCGTGGATTTTGAATGTATGCCAGGTACCCGTTATATGCTTATGTGTAAAAATCACCCTCCCCTTGAATTATTTACCAATAAGGTAAAGTACCATAAATCTAGCATGCTACTTCCTGATAACCCAACAATTTACCAAGCTATTTCGCTTTAAAAAAATGTTCTACCACCATGAAAATTTTGAGATGCACATCAAGTGGAAATGTTTGCACAGAAATGTTCCCAAAACAACTTGAACGGGAGAGAACAAAATCAAATATATATCAATGGCGTTAATGTTTCACTAGTTTCAACATTGTTGTTCGAGAATCAACAATTTCGTACCATAAATTGCTAAGTGGGTAATATTTTACGTTAATGCTGTTCTTACAAAAAGCAAAATTGCATAAAATTAACTTCTTAAACATGTTTGAACGTTTTCCCAACTAAATGCATAGACTATAGATAAGTAACAATTT